TATTGCCCTCGAGTAGGAACTGACTCAGAGCTGACCCCTCTAGCGGGTTTGTGAGGGTAACTGTAAATCTTCTTGGGTTTAGGCAGCTGTAAAGGGAAGACAAAATCTACGAATTTGAGTGCAGAAGGTCAAGGACTGCAATCTTCAATATGGATTGAAGCTCAACATCAAGAAAACAAAGATTCTCACCACTGGACCAACTGGCAGCATCATGATAGACGGTGAAGAGACTGAGATTGTTAACAGCTTTGGTTTGCTTTTCTCTACAATCAACACTCTTGATACCAGCAGCCTGTGCTATCCTCTTCACCTCTAATATACTTGCCTCCATTGTTACAGTCATTATTTCAAATCATCTTGTTGAGTCTTCCCTTTTGCTGATCCTCTACCTTTCCAAGAATGTCTTTTTTTTTATTGACCAGCCACTCCTAACAATATGCTCAAAATATGTGAGATGAAGTTTCACCTCCTTGCCTCCAGGATGAGAATAGTACTGAATATCCCCATGGACTGCCGAAAGAACAAAGTTCTTGGAGAAAGTGAAACCAAGGGGTGCTCCCTGGAGGCAAGGAGGGTGAAACGTCATCTCACATTATTTTGAGCACATTGCTAGGAGTGGCTGGTCAATGGAAAAAGACATCATGCTTGGAAAGGTAGAGGATCAGCAAAAGAGAGGAAGACTCTCAACAAGATGAATTTAAATAGTGAATGTAACAATGGGTTCAAGTATATTAGAGGCGATGAGGCTAGCACAGGATAGGGCAGGGTTCAGATCCATTGATCATAGGGTCTCGAGTCGATGTCACTAACAAAAACCATTAATTGTGGATGCCAGCAAAGATTAAACTATAGAAACAGTCACTATCGCACTGCTTACACATATAAACATTTGGAACAAATAGAATATTCAACAATTATCTATTGCCATTGAGCTGATAACACTTTACAAATTACAAGACATAAAACAGTACAGATAGTCTCATACAAATGAATAGGAAGAAAAATGCTAACATTTGGTAATTGAATGAATACTGAGTTTTTCCTTCCTTTTTTTAAAAAAAATCGATATACATCATCTAATTTTCTGAATGACTACTTGTCATTTTCATAAGGTAAATGAGAGTAAGCATTTTATCTACATATATGAATTTTAAAACATTATTAGATGGTTGTTTCTACATGCTGTTGAGTCAAGTACAACTCACAGCAACTGTTATGAAAAACAGACCTGAACCCTGCCCTGTCCTGTGCCATCCTCATCATCTCTGATATACTTGAGCCCACTGTTATAGTAACTGTGTGAATCCACCCTGGTTTCACTTTCTCTAAGACATATTTGTTTATTCTTTTGGCTGTCTATGGGGTATTCATTTGACACCCCAATGGCACAAGGTTCAGCATCTCAGCAATCCCAGGTTACCTCAGTTTAAGATAGGTTTGGAAGCAGGAGTGGCATCCACTTCCTAAACAACATGCCTCCAGAAACTATGAACTTTAATAAAGGACGGTAGTTATAGAAAGGCTTCAGGCCTTTCATTCACAGGGTGGCTCTGAGTTGTGCTCGACTCAACAGCAATCAACAACATCATGGGGTACTCTCCAATACCACAACTCAAAGGTTTTTCTGTCATCCTTATTTCCTACGTCCAAATTTCAAATGCATAGCAAGCAAATGAAAACCATTGGCTTGGTTCAGGTGTACCTTAGTCCTTAAACTGACATAGATGCTAGCCAGACAGCTGACAATCCAAATTCACCAACAGCTCCTTGGGAGGAAACAGTCTCCTCTTGTAAAGATTTACAGCCTCAGCAACTCAGTGGAAGGTGGTTGTGAGTCAAACACGAGTCAGGACTGTGGGTTTTTTAAATACAGTCACTCTGGAGACTAAGGTGAATCTGATACAGGCTATGGTCCTTGCAATCACTTGTTATGCATCAGAAAGTTGGACAATGACTAGGGAAGACAGAAGGAGAATTGATGCCTTTGAGCTGTGGTGCTGGAGGAGTACTGAATGTACCATGGACTGCCAAGAAAACAAGCAGATTCATCTGATAGAGGGTTAAACCAGGCTGCTCCTTGGAGGCAAGGATGCTGGGGCTTCGTCTGACATACTTTGGCCATGTTGTAAGGAGAGAGAGGTCCTTGGAAAGGGACATCATGCTTGGGAGGGTGGAGGGAAGGCGCAGAAGGGGAAGACCCTCTATGAGGTGGATTGATTCAGTGACTAGGGTAATCGGGATGGGTGTGTCAGAGGCAGTGTGGTTGGCAGAGGATAGAGCAGGGTTTAGGGCTGTTGTACATAGGGTCGCTATGAGTGGCAAGTGACTCTACGTCACATAACAACAAATAGGCCCCTATAGAGGTAGGCATGTGGAGACAGAGAGTGGGGTGGAGCTCCCTGATTAAAACAAGCTTGGAAGGAGGAGTGGCATCCACTTCCATAATAGCTTGCCTCCGGAAACCCTATGAACCTGGAGAAAGGATAAAAGGCACCCAAGCATTGAGGCCTCTCCTTCATAGGGTCGCTATGAGCAGCCTGCGACTCGACGGCACTTAACATATAGAAATGTCAACTTTTCATTTTAAATAATTTGTCATAATTTAAAAAAAAAATAACAAGCCACCATCAGTATTTTATTACATTTTAATGACACAAATGTCGTTATAGTTATCATGTCACATACAACTCATAGCAGTTCCATGTACTATGGATTTGAACTTTGCCCTCTTCTGTGCCATCCTCATTACCTGATATGCTTAAGCCCATGGATGCAGTGATTCTGTCAATCCATCTTGCTTAAGGCTTTCCTCCTTTTGCATAAACTTTTCAAGCCTGATGTCCTTTTCTAAAGCGCAGCCTCTCCTATAACGTGCCCAAAGAATATGGGGCAAAGCTTTGCCATCCTTGTCTCCAAGGAGCACTTGAGCTGCACTTTTTCCAAGACGTGTTTGAACTTTTGGTAGTTAGTGCTCTTCCCCCACACCACAACTCAAAGGTATTGATTCTTCTGCTATCCTTATTCACTGTTTAGACCTTGGAAGCAAAGCAAGAGATTGAAAAGACCATAGCTTGAATCAGGGACTTGTTAGGACTCGTTCTCCTAAGAGGCTTTCCCCTCTTCGTCCTTTTATAGACCAGAAATTTGTCAACAGATTTTAAATTGGCCAACCCATAATTTACTCAAAGTCACCAAAGAATATTTTATAGCATTGATTCGGGACCCAAGTACCTTGAGTTTTTGCTATGCCTCTAAACTTTATACCAAACCTTAAGACTCTTTCTTTTTAGTTCAAGATGTTTTGACTAAATATTAATAAAAAAATGTTTAAATCAGAACTTGACGAACATAAATTTTTAGTCCTGATAGCTTCCAGAATACACCTTATGAGTAATTAGTTGTTTTAATATTCAAAATGGCAGGTAGACTTTTGCAGTTAACATTTTCCCTCAATTTACATCTTTATGAAGCTATTTTATTTGTGATAGTATCCTTTAACATTTTTACAAATGAAGTTTGCTTAATTCATCAGAGCTGTACTCCTACACAAAAGATATTAACCACGGGGCCTTCTCTATAATTCTTATCAGACTTCCATTTTCCCCAGTTCAAAATGTAACTGTGGTAAATATTTGATTCTTTAATAAATTACTAGGAACATGTTTTAATGTTTAAACTGTAATAATTTTCAGTTTTATTTTGCAATACTTCTTTCTTGTGTCTGAATCTGTAATACTAATTTTTAAAAAGATTAAAAAAATGATTCTTCAGGCTGTTTTTCTGGTGCAGGGCCCGTAATTTATGTTATGTTGCTGATATGTGCAGTTTTTATTAGACTGTAACTTCATTTTCTGTTATTGATATATTACATAATACATATCATACACGTTATTAATAGATTGCATGTAACAATAATAAATAGGGTTTTTCCTTACAGACAAAACAAGATGAAAGATGATATATTAGCGTGAAAACAAGATTAAAGATGGTCTGTAATGCCTGCTTTTCACCTCCTTCAAAAAGATGGTTTCCAACGCTCTCCAAAAGTCCCCAAATTAATGTGCTAACCTCTAAAGCCCACAGCTCTAAACGGGTCCTTCAAAATTGGTCCGCCAAAGACTGCTTTTCTCTTCCTTCCACCAGAGGCGCTAGTTCTTTTTGAAATAGAAATGGAACGAGAATAAACCGGTGCCGGCGAGTTGCCGGAAGAAAGACCAAGGGTTAAAAACCACCTCAAGGAGCAAAGATCAATATTTGATTCTCAAGGAGAGCCTTAAGCTTACAAATTTCCCAAAATAAGAAGGTGACAATTCCCTAATGAGATGCCGAGGCTGGGGGGGGGGGCTCAGAGCCGACTTTCAGGGACCACTCGTCTCGCAACTAACAGACAGGAAGGGAAGCGACGACGACCGGAAGTGGAAGTGTGCCCGGGGCGGGTGGGCGGCCCGGTCCCAGCACGCGTGCGCAGTGAGCTCGGGGCGCAGCGCTCCTGCGCGGCTGGGCGGGGCCGCGGTGACGCTAAGAGCGTGGGCCGGCACTCTCACGGATTGGGTTCCGCCCTCGCGGTCAGTCGCGGACGCTGTAGGACTAGCGCCCGAAGAGATCTTTCCCAGAGTTCTCTGCGCCGTGAAGAAGCGGCTCCCGGAGACTGGGGGCATTTTGTGTTGGTTGGAGCCGGAAGAACAAGATGGCGGCGGCGGCGGCGGAGTGACAGGCTTCATCCGGGCGGGAGCTGGCGGCAGTGGTGGCAGCGGTAGTGCCGCCCTCACACAACGCGCCTTTTCCATACTGCGACGAGTCGCCGCGAAAGCGAAGCAGCGGCAGCCGCTCAGAAGCAAGTGGCCCCGTCTAGTGAACTGCGAGAACCATCCCAGAAGCTGCGGCCTGGCAGAAAAAGAACCGTGACTTGAGTGGCGGCGGTCAGGTGGCCCTGGGCCGACTGTGTGCCCTGTGACGCCGACGAAGGGCCTTCGGGTCTGGGGGGTGTTTTTCCCCCCCCCTCCGTTTCGTCCGCCCTCCTCCGCAGCCTTGCTCCGTGGACCAGCCCCGGGGGCCCCCGTTCTCCCCTCGTAGGTGTTGGGGCTTGGCCCCAGCCCTCCATCTTCGTTTCTCACCATGGCGAGCAGCAGCGGCTCCAAGGCCGAATTCATTGTCGGAGGGAAATACAAACTGGTCCGCAAGATCGGGTCTGGATCCTTCGGGGACATCTACCTGGCCATCAACATCACCAACGGCGAGGTGAGCCCTTGGGGCGGCGGGGTGCGCGGTCATCGGCCTTTCCCGGACCCCCTCCCCCAGCCAGCGCGCCGCGGAGCCCGCCCGGGGAGCCTCCCCCGCTGTCCCCTAAAAAGGCGAAGGAAGGGGGGAGGCCGGGCCGCCCGACAAGTGCCCCCTTAGTGGAACTTTGCTGTGTTGGGGGGGTGGTTGGGGCCGCGCGGAGCTCGGCGTCCTGGGGGGCAGGCCGGGATGGCGGTTCCGACGGCCGCCCCTCGCGGCCTCGCGCGCCCCTTCCCCGCGTCCCCAGGGCCGCCGATGCCATCGCCCGTTGTGTCCCCCCCGCAGGAAGTGGCCGTGAAGCTGGAGTCGCAGAAGGCCCGGCATCCGCAGCTGCGGAAGGAGAGCACGCTCTATAAGATCCTCCAAGGCGGGGTCGGCATCCCGCACATACGGTAAGCGCCGCCCGCCCGCGGGGGCGGCCCGGGGCCCGCACGAGCCGCCCGGCTGGGGCCGCCGCCGGAGCGCACGGGGGAAATGGCTGCTCTTTTGTTGTGGTTTTTTTTTTTTTTGTTGTTCCAACATGTCTTCCTCCTCCGCTCAGAAAATGGCGGAGCGACGTGACTCAACCCGGTTTTCCTGCGCGTTCCCTGGGCGCGGGTTCACCGGTCACGCTTCCTCGGTTCCCCCGGGCGCTCCCCGGGGGGTTAGAGCCGGGAGCGGAGCCGCCGGAGGCCGCGGGGGCTTCGCGGGGGTGCGAGGAAGCGGGTGGTGTGATGACAGCTGGCGTGTCGTCCAATCGGGCTCTGCACGGTCGTTCCTGTTCCTCCTGACGGCAGTCGTTACTCAATTTCTCCATCGGTGGTTACGTTTGCTGCTTTTTAGTCTGTGTGCTAGATTAGGATGGGCTCCAGCAAGGAGAGTTGGGAACAGTCGCCACTGTGCCGAAAGGTATTCACATCAAGGGTGTGAAAAGAAAGGTTGTCACTTAACGACGTAAATCGTTTTAAACCTGTGGAGTTATTGTGCCAGGAACACTTCGCATCAGGGAGATGATGGAATTTTTTGCAAAAAGTAGATGCAGATACTTGCTAAGAGATAACCTGATTTAAAAAAAAAAATCACCAAAATTAAACCATGAGCATTTTAAGTTCTCTTAAGTCATTAACTTTAAAGACTTTGAGCGTAGTTTTCACTCGGATATCAATGATCCTCTTAGAATAAGGGCAGAAATAGTTAAAATGCATTAATTTTCCAAAGAAATCAATGGTAGCCAGAGAATTCAGTGAACCAGTCTTTATCTGTAGGCTCTTTATTACATTTTGATTCCTCAAATCGTTAATTAAGGACTAGATTTGCATAAATTCATGATATGTGAAACACCTAAAGTAATGGTGGTCTGAAAATTCTGGTTGCTAATAAGCATTTTTAATGGGGAAGTTGAGTACGTTGTTGGTGACCAAAGTAAATTAAAATTCCAGATTTTATGAGGTAAAGATTAATGTAAAATGATTCCCATCTTTGGGGGAAAGAAAACCTTATGTTTGGCAAAGGAATTTGTTGTTGTGGAAAAATGAAAATCTTTACTTTTAAAATGGTTACACTTTTGAATCCACCAGCTACTATGCTGGAGAAGGAGGGACAATCTCCTCTGTACCAGTTAGATCAGATTTGAAGGTGCACACACTAAAAATTTAAAAAAAAACAAAACCTTACACTTAAGAATTCTGATACAAGACAGGATTTATTTCTAATAGAATAGTACTAAAACAGACTGGAATTGTGATTTTTGACAAGCTTACAGAAAAGCTGTATTTTCATTCATTATTGCACATTTCATATTTTGCTACGTTTTGAAGTGCATTTTAATTTTTTACTATAGACTTTATAAAAGATTTTTACATCATGTTAAGTACTTTTACCATTCCAGTTGTTGTTAACTCTACTAATGATCATCTTGTGTTGGATTCATATTTGAATGGGGCACTGTAGACTATTTTAGTATTTTATATCACAGGATGTATTCATGTGACCCTCTATGAGATGGATTGATTCGGTGACTGTGGTAATTGGGATGGGCGTGTCAGAGGCATTGCGGTTGGCACAGGATAGAGCAGGGTTTAGGGCTGTTGTGCATAGGGTCGCTATGAGTCGGAAATGACTCGATGGCACATAACAACACAACAACAGATCAGATGCTTCAGTCGCAACTGACTTGAAAATATCAGAGATAATTAGGATGGCACAGGATAGTGCAAAGTTCAGATTCCTTGCTGCGTAGTCAACTCAGCAGCATCTAACAACAATAGTCTTAACAAAATGAAGGAGCTCTGGTGGTGTACTGCATTCATTACATGTTGTATGATAACCAAAAGGCACACAGTTGCAGTACACTAAATGAGAAAGTCTTCTCCCATAAAGCTATACAGTCTTTGAAACCAGATTGAGTTTGATACAAGTCAGAATTGACTCTGATGATGTTTGTTTTTATTTCTATGATAAGAGGAGTGAAGAGAGTTACGGTGCTTTTAAAAACAAAATGTTGGTGGGGTGTAAAGATAGATTAACCTGGTTTTTGAGTTAGTGCTTCCTGGGAGAGAGAAGATGGGATTTCAGGATCTGGCTTTAAGGAATAAAGCTTGGTGAACTGGTTAGAGAGGGCATCCAAGAATACAGTCTGGCATCTGGGAGTAGTCTTGTTATGGCTGAAATATGTAAACTAGATGATGGTAAAGGTTAAAAATGCGTGTTTTTACGAGTGGTAAGGTCAAGTACATAGAAACAAAAGTAGTTAATTGACTTCTGTACAGTCAAATATGTTTGTTTGTGCCATGGAGTCTGATCCTCCGGTGGGTTTTCAGAGGCAGTTAATCTCTCACGGGAGGAGATTGACCATCTCGAACTGCCTGCAGTTTGAATTGCAGCACAGCTTCTTGCTACTATGCCACCAGAACTTCCTACAGTCATATATAAGAAAACTTCTTCCTCTAAAATGTACAGATAAGGTGTGCATAAATTTTCTTTATATGAATGACAACATCTTGTCTCAATTCCCTGCCATTTCTGCATCACCTACAATACAGGCATACCTTATTTTAGTGTGTCTCACTAGTAACAAGGTTTTTAGGGGTTTTGTGGTTTTTGCTTTTTACACGGATTAAAGGTTTGTGGCAACCCTTTATTAAGTAAGTCTGTTGACACAAATTTTCCAACAGCTTGCAGTCACTTCTTGAAAGCCAGAGTCACTCAAATCTTACAGTGACCCTGCAGGACAGAGCAGAACTGCCTCTAATTTCAAGACTAAATCTTAGTAGGGCAAAAAGTTTCATCTTTCAAAGTCTCTTGGACTTACTTAGTTTGGTTTGTACCACCCTGCTGCTGAATGCTTTGACTCCTGTGTCACCAGTGTTTAATAGACTACCAAAACTCCTGTCATCAATTTGGCTCATGATGATCCTGTATCAAGTTTCTAAGGCTGTAAATCTTTACAGGAAGAGACTACCAGTATTTCATTCTTGGGTAGTTTGTGAAAGTGAACCTACTACCTCTAGTTAGCAGCCCAACACATAGTGCTATTTGCCACCGAGGGTTTTTAATATGCTACAAAATCGTATAAATATGACTTTGCTTGTTTTTGTGTCCTGTCTAGTTGGAGCTAACTCAAAACTGACCTTCCAGTGGGTTTTCAAAGATAGTAAATTGCACGGGAGGTGATGGCTTATCTTTTTCCTGGGGAGCACCCTGGTAGATTTAAACTGTGCATTTAGGTTGGCAGCACAGCACGCTGAGCCACCTGAGCTACCGAAATACAGCTTGTTTGTACTGGGAAACAAAAATTAGGATGATTTGTTTTATTGCGATATTTGCCTTATTTTGGCTTAGACCCAAATTCACAGTTTCTCCAAGATTTGCCTGCCTCTACGTACATGACCAGCTACTTGCTCTGGAATTGTCAACTCGTGACAATCCTGTGTGTGTCAGAAAATAACTGTTCTTTTTAGGATTTTCAGTGGCTGATATTTTGGAAATACCCAGGTCTTCCAGAAGACCTCTAAGTAGACTTGAAGTCCCAACCTTTAGATTAGCAGCCTTGAACTGTTTGTATATGCTTACGTCTTTACTTGGTAAATGTTGCATTAGTATTTTATTATTAAGTGCTGTTTTAGAAGTTTAGATACTGATTTTATCTGTTTGGTTGTTTATTCTAATTAACAAAATTTAGGGGAGGGACATACTTGTTTACAAAGGAGCTTTGATAGAACAAATAGTTCAGCTGCACAACTGTCAGCATAAAGATGGGGAGGATTTAAGCCACCTCAGCAGCTTCACTGATGAAAAACTGAGATCTTTTACTCTCTGCAACCGTCTTCTCTACAGATTTTTTGTTTATAGGGTTTATTTTAAGATATCTTAAAATAAGGATTGGCCTTAATGACAGAACTTCCTGTACCGTAAAGTGTAATTGAGGAGTCTGTTGGTGGACAGTGAATAAGGAGTTGAGCTGTGAACCCAAAAACAGGTATTGAGTCCATCAGCTGCTCTGTGATTTACTGCCCCTGAAAACCCACTAGAAAATCAGCTACTGGTTGTTTCCGACTGAACAGCAAACATCATCATTGACAACACAGTGGTGCGGACCAAAGGGCAGGTGGTTTAAACTCATCAGCTGCTCTGACTCCACTAGCTGTGGGAGCCGAATGTGGCAGTCTGATTCCATAAAAATTTATGTCAGTGGAAACTATATAGGGCAGTTCTTTTCCCTCATAGGGTTGCTATTAGTTGAAATTGGTCTGCAGTGGGTTGATTTGGTTCTTACAGCTAAATAGGAAGGCATTACATTGAGTCTTAAAGAATGAGAGGCAGCATCCAGCCTGTAGGTAGTTTGAGACATTAAAATTCTTCTGACCTGTGAATTGACATCTGGGAGGTCATGGAATATTGGTGTATTTCTTTTACAACAACTCTTTGTACTACTATTCCAAATTGGATTAATGCATTCTTCAAAGAAGCAAATCTGGAAAAGACACTATATAACTAACTGGTGTTGGCCAGATGTTGACAGTTTGAACTCAGACCATCACCTGTGTGAGTCCTTTGGCTCTATAATTTCCTCTTTAAAATAAAGGAGTTTTGCTAAGTTAGTGATTTTCTCGAGTAAGGAAGAAACAGAAAGGTTTAGGGTTTTCTACCCTGCTACAGGATCAATAGTCATTTCCCATTTGATTTTACACACTGTCTGGGTAAGGTTGGTCACTGCCCTCCTTGGTCTGATGATAGCTATACCTAGAAAGCCTGTTACAGAGTTTAGCATGTCTTTATAAGAGGACATTGCCCATTTTTCTCTTTTGGGATGGCTGGTGGATTTGAACTTCTGACTTTTAGCTAACAGTTAAGCATGTAAGGCATTATGTCACCAGACCTGCTTGCTTAGACTAGGCATTTAGATGGGAATCAT